ACTTGCCGATTAAGACGCGATCAGGAAATGAGTCTGTAGGTTGTGAGCAGTGACACCTGTTTGGGCAGCCAGATTTTCCCATCGCTCCATAACCATATGGGCCGTACAGCAGGGCAGGGGAAGGAAAAGTCCTGCTGTCCCTGTGGTAGAGGTTTTCCACCCTCCTGATGCTGTGGTGGAAGGAAAACGGGTATTGGGATTGTGAGGGCTGGGTTCAGTGCTGGGTTTGCTACTATCATAGAGCCATGGAGTGCTTTGGGTTGGAAGGGACCTTCAAAGCTCATCTAGCCCCAATCCCTTGTGATAAACAGGGACACCTTCCACTAGGGCAGGTTGCTCCAAGCCCCGTCCAACCTGGCCTTGAACACTGCCAGGGATGGGGCAGCCACAGCTTCTCTGGGCATCCTGTGCCAGTGCCTCAGCACCCTCACAGGGAAGAGCATCTTCCTTATGTCAGCCTGAATCTGCCCTCTTAGTGAGGAGGCACAGCACAAGATGTTTCCTTCAGGATCCTAGTGGGATCCTGTCCCTGCGTTGCAGAGGGTTTACCCCAGTGTTGGACACTAAGATGGGAGGCTTAGCAAGAATCAGGAGGGCAGATTTCCCTTCTGCAACTGGCTCCAGTGAGGAGCTGCTGCACAAAATTGCTGGCACCATAACACGGTCCTGAGCCACGCAAAGCTTTCTTGTTTGCATAATCTGCTCTCTGCTTTCTGGCCCTCTTGGTCTGTAGGGATAACAAATTGTTCCACTTGTGAAGGGCTTGATCGTGTGGCTGCGAGCTCAGTTTGTGTCCTGTGCGAAGCACCAGTGAGCACGGCGTGTCCCTGCTCCCTTTGATTCACAGGGCTCCCTCTAAAGACACCGAGCTTGGTGCCAAGGGCATTGTCCTGGGAAGCCCTGGTTTAATCCCTGGAGCTGGTTGAGATGCTGCTGCCGATAGCGAGCAAGAAAACAAACAAAACCAGATGAATTTCCTACACCAAAGTGGACAAGAAAATAGCCCTGGATCCCCTTGGTGAGCACTGAACATGGTCCTGCAGGGTGGAGGGGTTGGGATGGGGAAAGCACTTCTGCAGCCACTTCACTCCCCTTGTTCTGATAGGGGGAGAGTGGAGGGACCAGAACATCTGTCTTGAACATCTGTCCCAAACATCTGCCTGGGTTGGGGTTATTTTGTGGGTTTAATCCCATCACTTACTGGACATTAGACCTTACCAGCAAGCTGAGGAGGGCACTGATGGGTATGAGAGGCACCCTGTGCATCTGGAGCATCTTCATCCTGAAAGAGCATAGGGAGAAGATTTGGCTCATCCACCCCCTGGGAAAGAGATGTTTTGCAGGGATCACCAAACCACTATTTCCTTGGAAAAATGAAGTGTCTTTGCAAGTTGTTGACATCATGTGGCTTAGCAAATTCCCCTCCGGGCATCGCCCAACTCGGGGTAATCAGCTCTGCTTGAGAGCACACGGAGAATAGGCACGTTTAATGCAATTATGAAGGCTTTCTGCATCTCCAGATCTGGTGGAGAATATGTAAATGTGGCTGCTGAGCCCAGCTGAATGCGAACTCCCCTCTGCATGCCCGGCAATTGTTTTAATACTCTGCAAGTTTTAGGAGGCAATAAAGTCTCTCACTAAAGCGTAGCTGAGCTCTCAAAGCTCTTTAATTGAATTCAGCAGAGAAGCCAGGGGCTTTCAGCTTTTGATTTCTCTAAGCCACCGGATATTTAGCCAGTCTATGTATAACACCACCCAGATTCACACCCCCCCTTTAGACTGGCTATGAAATATTGCTGCTGTACCATTGCGGCAGATACCAATGTCAGGACAGCTTAGTTGCTGTATTAGAGTTATTTCGTGTTAAGAAATGGTCCCACACTGGCTGCACAGTGATCCCCATTTTCTAGTGGCCTCAAAGTGGATGCAAAACCACCCAGTGGAGCACACAGGGATGTATATGTTGGAGCAAGCTGCAGAGCTTGATGGGGCTCAACAGGACCTGAGGGTAAAAACTTGGGTAGCTGATCTGTGTCAGTTGATCCAAGCCTGCAGCACGGGCTGGGGAGCAGCTCTGGGCAAAGGGACCTGGGCATCCTGATGGACCTAAACTCAATAGGAGTGAACAGTGTGCTGCTGCAGCAAAGAAAGCCAACAGGATGCTGGGGAACATCAACAGGGGCGTCATCAGCACAGATAAGGATGTCATTGTCCCACTCTGCTCAGTGCTTGTCAGGCCACACCTGGGAAACTGTGTTCAGTTTTGGTACCTGTTATATGAAAACAGATGTTGATGGGCTGGAAGGGTCCAGAGAAGGGCCACAAAGATGATCCAAGCACTGGGCAGTGCATGAGGAAAGGCTGAAGGAGCTGGGACTGTTCAGCCTGGAGAAAAGAAGGCTCAGGGGTGACCTTATCCCCATGTTCCAGTAGTTAAAGGGTGGCTACAGAGAAGATGGAGACTCCCTTTTTTGCAAGGAGTCACATGGAAGAGATGAGGGGTGATGGGCACAAGTTACTCCTGGGGGGATTCTGGCTGGACACAAGAGGAAAAACTTTCCTAATGAGACCCATCAGCCATTGGAACAGTATCCCAGGGATTCCCCAGTGTTGGACACTTTAAGGCTCAGCTGGACAGGGTGCTGGGACATCCAGTCTGGGTCATGCTTTGCCAAGCAAGGTTGAAAAGATGATCCTTGCTGTCCCTTCCACCCTGGCATTCGATGATTCTATGACTTACACTCTAGCTAGTTAGTGCAAATCCACTTCCACTCATTCTCACATGGAGAGGTGTCTGGATTTCCCATAGCCCTTGCTCTACCAGGGTTTCCTGTTTCAATGACACAGTTGCACGCTGAGCATCTCCTCAGATAAGGGATTCTGGGAGGCTCCAGCTGAGCAGGTTTTGCATGAGACCCAGCCCAGATGTGCTGATACCAGAGCCAGGGCTGTACTGGGACCGTGAGGCTCTGCCTGCCCCGGGGCCCTGCTGAGACCTGCCCAGAGGGACCAAGAAAACCAGCACTTTGTTTTGTAGAGGATTTGAAGCCTGTGTGTGTTTCATCCCATGGAACACATGCTTCCTCTTCTCTCCTCTTTGAAACACCTGCTTTGCATTCAACGCGTGTTTGAAACCACAGTGACGTGGGTTTGGCAGATTTCTCCATTTGACCACCAAACACAGCCTTAGGAGCCTGTTCCTTTTTCTTCTGCAGAGATTTGCTTTCTGTTTTTTCCTGCTAACACAAACCTGCTGCATTTCTAATGAATCAGTGCAGGCCAAGAAAACTTTCTTTACTTCAGTCAAAATCAGATACGCATCTGTATTGATATCTGGATATATCAAATCATAGAATCATAGAATCATCCCAGACTGGTTTGGGTTGGAAGGGACCTTAAAGCTCATCCAGTTCCACCCCCCTGCCATGGGCAGGGACCCCTTCCACTAGAGCAGGTTGCTCCAAGCCCCTGTGTCCAACCTGGCCTTGAACACTGCCAGGGATGGGGCAGCCACAGCTTCTCTGGGCACCCTGTGCCAGCGCCTCAGCACCCTCACAGGGAAGAGCTTCTCCCTAATGTCTCATCTCAATCTCCCCTCTTTCAGCTTAAAACCATCACTGAAATCACTGGAAATGAACTGGAGCTCAAAGGGTCGAGGTTGCACTGCATCAATGTAAGAGTTTTCTAAAGGCAAATCAAACCAAACACCCTTTTCCCCCATAAAAGACACACCAGTTCCTTCAGGAGCTGTTACTGGTACTTTCAGTAGCCATTAATTTTTCTGCCTTCCATATGGAAGATTTATATCGCTGCTTCACTGAACCCCCACAAGTAGAACTCATCAGTTTTAACTGAATGCAATCCAGGGATAGCAGCACTGGATTTTCTCAGGGCTTGTCCTGACCAGGAGCACACAACAATGTGCAATGGGCATACCACTGAGTTTGGGTTTTTCCCAACCAGCCTTTAGCAAATTAATGTGAACCTGTGCATCTTGGGGGGTGCCAGAACAAGCACCTCTCCATGCCCATACCCATGCACCTAGAGCAGCGCAGGGGATCCAGCACCCCAGCCTGAGGCAGAAGATAATGCCAGCAATGGGGACAGTGCTGGGATGGGTGCACGATGGTGATGGAGTCTGCCCTGAGCAGGGCTGGGCTGCAGCTTCATGCAGCTGATTGGGGGTGCCTGTGTACAGGGGGTGCGTGTATGCATCCCAGGGTGTGTTTGCCTGTCCTGGTGTGTGTGTATCTGTCCCAGGGTGTGTGTGTGTACCTGTCCTGGGGTCTGTGTATCTGTCCCAGGGGCTCTGTACCTCTCCTGGGGTGTCTGTACCTGTCCTGAAGAGATGTACATACTGGTCCTGGAGGCTCTGTACCTGTCCTGGGGTGTCTGTACCTGTCTCAAAGGGATGTACATACTGGTCCTGGGGGCTCTGTACCTGTCCTGGGGTGTCTGTACCTGTCCTGAAGGGATGTACATACCGGTCCTGGGGGCTCTGTACCTGTCCTGGGGTGTCTGTACCTGTACCTGTCCTGAAGGGATGTACATACGGGTCCTGGGGTGTCTGTACCTGCCCCAAAGGGATGTACATACCGGTCCCGGGGGCTCTGTACCTGTCCTGGGGTGTCTGTACCTGCCCCAAAGGGATGTACATACCGGTCCTGGGGGCTCTGTACCTGCCCCAAAGGGATGTACATACCGGTCCTGGGGGCTCTACCTGTCCTGGGGTGTCTGTACCTGCCCCAAAGGGATGTACATACCGGTCCTGGGGGCTCTGTACCTGTCCTGGGGGCTCTGTACCTGCCCCAAAGGGATGTACTTACCCGTCCCGGGGGCTCTGTACCCACCCCATGGGCTCTGTACCCATCCCGGGCGCTCTGCTCCCCCCTCCCCTCCGCCTCCCCGGCCGGGGGCTGTGCGCAGCGGTGCGGGCCCGTCCCCTGCGCTGCCGGGCGGGAGGCGGGGAGGGCCGTGCCCGGCCCCGCTCCGAGGGCTCCTCCTCCGCCGCCTTTTCCCCGCCGCCGCCGCCCGCTCGGCGCAGCCCAACGGAGCTCGGGGCGCCGGCGCCCCGGCCATGGCCGTGCCCGCCGCGCTGCTCAGCCCCCATCACCTCCTCTCCTTCTGCTTCCCCGCCGCCGGCGGCCTGCTGGGCTATGCCGACCTGGAGAAGGGCTACGAGGGCGGCGGCGACGCCGCCGGGGACTTTAAAGAAGCCACCAGGGACCTGCTGAGCTTCATCGACTCTGCCTCCAGCAACATCAAGCTGGCGCTGGACAAGCCGGTGAAGTCCAAGCGGAAGGTGAACCACCGCAAGTACCTGCAGAAGCAGATCAAGCGCTGCACCGGCATCATCGCCGCCGCCCCGCCGCCGCCTCCCGCTCCTCCAGCGCCCTCCGCCTCCTCCCCGCCCGCTTCATGCCCCGCTAAGCCCCCGCCGCGCCGGGAGGGCTCGCAGGGAGCCAGCAGCCTCCAGAGCAAGAGCCTGGCCGCGCTCTTCGGGTCGCTGCAGCACGGCCCCGGGCCGGCGGGCGGCGGGGAGGCGGCGGGAGGCGGCGGCGGGGCTGCGGGGGGCGGCGGCGGGGCTGCGGGGGGCGGCCCGCGGAAGGTGCCGCTGCGGGACCGCAACCTGCCCCCTTCCTTCTTCACGGAGCCGGCGCTGCCCGCCGCCGCCCGAGGGCCAGCACCGGGCGCTAAGGAGCCGGAGAAGGGCGGCGGGGATGCGGTTGAGTTCTTCGAGCTGCTCGGCCCCGAGTACAGCGCGCTGCTGCCCGAGCACGCCGCCCCGCAGGACGCCTTCCCCGGCGGCGCGGCCGCCCGCCTGCCCGCCGAGCTGGGCCTGGAGCACGGCCTCTACGACGCGGCGCTGCCGCTGCCCAGCGCCCATCACCCGCTGCTGGGCGGGCTGCTCTACCCCGAGCCCTGGAGCCCGCCCGGGCCGTGCAGCCCCGGCAAGAAGGCGCCGTCTGAAGCGCTGCGCCCGCTGTACCCCGGCGGTGGGGAGCCGGCCCCCGGCGGCGGCAGCGAGGAGCCCGGCGGGCACCTTCCGGCGGGGTTCGCTTCCTTCTTCCCCGAGTGCCCGCTGCCCCCGCCGCAGGTGCCCTATGAGTACAGCGCCGGCTTCCACCGCGCCGCCTTCCCCGGGCTGTAGGGCCGCGATGGGGGACGGGGTGGGACGCGGGTCCCGACCCGGAACGACGGCTCCCGCAGGATTCATGCTGCGAGCCGCCTCCCCCTGCGGCTTGGGGCCGCTGCGAGTAAAATGTGAGGTGATGGGTTCCTTTCACAGCGGCCGGTGACCGCCTTCCGTCGGGGTTTGTCCGGCTGCAGGCAGACGCGGCTCGGTGTCTGCGGCGTTGCAACGGGGGCAAGCGGTGAGTCCTTGTCCGTGATTTCCGTCTCCCAGCTCGGCCACCTCTTGCGGTGGCTTTAGCGTTTTCCCAGGCTCCCCAGTGCGGGTGGAGGACACAAAGGCGAGGAAGAGAGATGTTCCAGTGAAGCAATGCTGCTACCAAAACTTAAAGAGTCCTGAGGTCGAACAGTGTCTTGCAGGATCTTGCAAACAGCAACTGACAGCGGTGCTGAAGCGATGGTGTACGCTGGGGACAGAACCGCACCGTGCTGCGGGGAAGTGATTCCTACAGACCACTGGATTCCTTCCAGGAACGTGTCAGAGCTCGGAAGGCGCCGCGGCTCGGTCTCACCGTGTACAGGAGATTATTTGATAATCATTTAAGTTATGTAAAAGAGTCTATGATAGGTCCTATAAAAATAAAGCTACACAATAGATCTGGGGTCTGTGATCGTTACTGCCGCTGACACGCAGCGTTCGAGGGGCTCTGTAATGTTTTTTTTGGCAGGAGTTTAGACGGGCGGTGGGTTTTGTCTCCCCTGAATTGCTCGGAATGCCGCGGTTCATCCGCGGTGCCCTGTGCTTGTTTGTACCGGCTGTTTCTTGAACGTGGTGGAAAGAAAGGAACGCGGCTCAGCTCCAAAGCCAAGGGATGAAAACTGTTACAGTTATGGAAACAGATCAAAATACCAGAGGTTTCCCATTGAGCCGCAGTCCCATGGCCTGGCTCCCTGCCAGTCCCAAATGGATTGTTTGTTTTTGAAACGGGATCCACGCAGGGATCGGGCTGAGGCTTTACCCCCGGCGGTGACAAATCCTTGTGCCTCCTATCTCTTAAAACACGTTGTGAAAGGTAAAACGGTTTTCTTCACTCATCAACCCAGATTTAATCTCTCAGAGACTTGGGGTCAGGATGATGGGGTGTGTGGAAAGGGGAAGTGAGATTATTGGCAATAAACCATGAAATGATTTGTGTCAGGAATTGGCTTAATTTTACTTCTAAACAGCAAGAGCTGTGATTTCTGCTGTTTCTTTCCTCCCCTAAAGCTGCCGAAAGTCTCCACAAGCTGCTTGGGAAGGACCCACCGTGGATGAACGTCCGCAGCATCCCAGTGTCCAACAGTTAACGCTGTTAAGGAAGCACACTTCTCTAAGCTTCAGGAGCGCCTGTATGAGGATCAGTGGGTGGCAGGTCCAGCCAGGGTAGCCTAAAATGAGGTTAATCCTGCCCTGCTGCTGGTTTTGGTGCTGGGACAATGTCCCGTTGTCCATCATGTTGGCAAACCTACCCGTGAAGAGTGCATGTGCTCACTGTCACGAGCAGCGCTCTGGTGGGTCCAAGCAGAACTTGTGTGTAACTGCATTGAGAATCAATAGACAAGACCAAACTGGGGGTTATTTCGTGTGCAGAGGTGGTGCTTTTGAGTTTAGGATCTGCTTCAAGCATGTGAATGTATAGCACATGCTGGTGGGTGCTTGGAGTACTTCAGCTCGATGGTGCTGCACTAGTGTAATCAATCCTTCTTTCACTTAGGATTTCACTGAGCAAGTTATTTCCTTCACAAGCTCAATATGCCAGTGTCTGTTAATGAAGGATCTAATCCTGAAGACTTTCCAGCCTATCCTGTCAGCTGTCCCACTGGGACATGGGGATCTTGCTCAAAAGAAAGTCTAAAATACCTGGAAATACTCAAGGCCAGGTTGGAAGGGGCTTGGAGCAAGCTGTTGTAGTGGAAGGTGTCCCTGCCCGTGGCAGGGGTTGGAACTGGATGAGCTTTAAGCTCTCTTCCAACCCAAACCACTCCGTGATTCTATGACAAAACAGATTCTCTCCTGGCCCACAGGCCTTACCTTTTTATTCCAAGTAGTTGTGAAGTGCCACAAATCTGACCTGCTGGTGGTTTTCACCCATTTGGTGCTCTGCTTCCTTGTACTGTGGTGCTTTTCCTTACCTGGGATCTTCCTTACCTGTGGTGCTCAGGAATTGAGCATCATCACCCTGCTGGGGTTAGATCTTGCCTCAAACCAGTGTGAGAAGCAGCTCTGAGGGTATCAGCAGAGCTGGGCTGGTGTAGAACTCCTGCGGCAGCCAGCTCCAGATGCTGCCAGGTCGGGAGGGTTCTCCTTGGGCTTGCAAGAAGCTTGGGGCAGGCTCCAGGAGCTGCTCTGTTGGCTGAGCAGCAGCTGCAGATGTTGCTTCAGCTCTGCAATAGCTCCTGAAGAAGGGATTTTCAGTTTATAGGAGTTTACACTGAGGAAAATGAAGGAACATCATCAGTGTTCTTGGGAGTACGGCTGTGTTTGTGCCACAGGATGCACGTGAGGAGCGCCTGTGTTGGGATGCTGGGTAAGGCTGGGAAGGAGCTACCACCACCTGGGCTGATCCGTGCTGCTTTACCCACCACACAGCCCATACAAAGGACTTGTGTGAGCTCCCGGGGCGTGCTTGGAGCTGCTCCCTGTGCTGCAGGGGGGCCAGGGCATCCCTACCAGACCAGGGGATGCCACCGAGCCAGCTGCATCTGTTATCTGCTTTGTGCATGTGTGGGCTCTTTTTGTTGTGGTTGTTTCCCCCAGGCACTGCAAATGTCACAGGAGACTGGCACCCTTGGGGAACTGTTCTCAACACCGAGGAGCATCATCTGTAAGAATAAAACCTTTTGTAATCGAGATATTTTGGTTCATCTGCTGTGTGCTTTTACAAGGGCTCTGTCCTGAGGAACCGAGGCTTGATCCATTTTAGCTTTTCTGTCTTAAAAGAAATGTGTCCCTTTGAATAGAAGTGGGTTGTGTTTGGTTGGACTATCAAGGTCAGGCTATCAAACGACTTTGTTTTCAAAGCATGCACTGAGTTTCCTCAGATACACTGAATTCTGCTTTGTTGCTGTTTTTACACATATTGTCTGATTTAACAGATTTTGGTGGAAAAACATACAATCTTAGTAGTTTTTCATATAAAGATGTGATAAAGGAGAATGACAAGAACCCTTCATTCCCTTTTTAAGTGATGGAATCTCACCTTTCCTCAGTGCTGATTTACTGATGAACAACAAAGGGTTCGCCACAAACAGTGGTTCTTGTCTCAGTATTCTGTTACTTAAATGGTCTGGGTCTTGTCCAAAGCTGCTTCAAGAAAGCAGAGAGATTCCTTTATTTTAATGGATGGGCTTTTGAAACACGCTCACCAACTACTGACTGTTGGGGCTGTTCAGCCTGGAGAAGAGAAGGCTGCGTGGAGACCTCATAGCAGCCTTCCAGTATCTGAAGGGGGCCTATAGGGATGCTGGGGAGGGACTCTTCATTAGGGACTGTAGTGATAGGACAAGGGGTAACGGGTTCAAACTTAAACAGGGGAAGTTCAGATTGGATAAAAGGAAGAAGTTCTTTCCTGTGAGGGTGGTGAGGCACTGCAATGGGTTGCCCAAGGAAGCTGTGAATGCTCCATCCCTGGCAGTGTTCAAGGCCAGGCTGGACAGAGCCTTGGGTGACATGGTTTAGTGTGAGGTGTCCCTGCCCATGGCAGGGGGGTTGGAACTGGATGATCTTAAGGTCCTTTCCAACCCTAACTATTCTATGATTCTATGACTGACCTGAGCTTGGGATTGCTCTCACATAGCCTGACCATTGACGATGGGTCATCTTTGATGAGCTTACGTAGTTGTCCAAACACTGTCAGTAAAAAAGATGCAGAAGTTTCTTGTAACCTCCTTTTGTTTGGTCCTTTTGAATAAACTGCTTCTGGCACCGGTGCAAAACCTGAAGGTCATCCTGCAGTTCCTGGCAGCCGGAGGGAAAAGGTGGTGGAGCGGTTCTGTAGCGATGTGCAGGCAGTTAGGTTGGAAATGTGAGAGTGCACAAATCTGACTGCATGAAATGAGAGCTGGGAATGCTTTCAGGCTAGCTTTATGTCAACAGAAGAGACTGCAGATGCTTTCTATTCAATGAACTCATCTTTTTTAAGATTGGTAAACGCTTGTTTAAAATCCAATGGGTTTTGTTGCATGTCTACATAAAAGAGTAAAGATAGAGTGTGCAGTTAATAGAGAATAATATTAAAGAGCAATGATAAAGTGCATTACATGGGGCCTACAAGAATACTGGAGAGGGACTTTTTACAAGGTCAACTGAGGACAGGACAAGGGGAATGGCTTTAACCTGCCAGAGGGGAGACTGAGATGAGCTCTTAGGCAGAAGCTCTTCCCTGTGAGGGTGCTGAGGCGCTGGCACAGGGTGCCCAGAGAAGCTGTGGCTGCCCCATCCCTGGCAGTGTTCAAGGCCAGGTTGGATGGGGCTTGGAGCAAGCTGCTCTAGTGTGAGCTTTAAGGTCCCTTCCAACACAACCCAGTCTGGGATTCTGTAATTACAGTTCCCCCCCTCTCCCCACATCTGTGTGGGTACAGCTTGGCAGAGGATTGCTGAAAGGTGCTATGAAAGGTGAGAGGAGAGCTTGTTTTCTGTGTTACAGTATTTTCCAATACCTCACTTTAACCTTGATCATCCCTGGTGACTCCCCTTCCTCACTGGTAGGGAACTACATCACTAGACCAGCCTTTTGTGCTTTCTGGACCTCTCCTTATCAAATGTAAATATACTGACAAAGCATCATTTTCCAAGGTTATTTTGGTTGTAGTCCACAGACCCACAGTTAGAACCACAGAATCACAGAATAGTTAGGATTGGAAAGGACCTTAAGATCATCCAGTTCCAATCCCCCTGCCATGCGCAGGGACACCTCACACTAAACCATGTCACTCAAGGCTCTGTCCAACCTGGCCTTGAACACTGCCAGGGATGGAGCATTCACAACTTCCTTGGGCAACCCATTCCAGTGCCTCAGCACCCTAACAGGAAAGAATTTCCTCCTTATATCCAATCTAAACTTCCCCTGTTTAAGTTTGAACCCGTTACCCCTTGTCCTGTCACTACAGTCCCTAATGAACAGTCCCTCCCCAGCATCCCTATAAGCCCTGTTCAGATACTGGAAGGCTGCTATGAGGTCTCCATGCAGCCTTCTCTTCTCCAGGCTCAACAGCCCCAACTTCCTCAGCCTGTCTTCATACAGGAGGTGCTCCAGTCCCCTGATCATCCTCATGGCCCTTCTCTGGACTTGTTCCAACAGTTCCATGTCCTTTTTATGTTGAGGACACCAGAACTGCACACAATGCTCCAGGTGAGGTCTCACAAGAGCAGAGTAGAGGGGCAGGATCACCTCCTTCGACCTGCTGGTCACGCTCCTTTTGATGCAGCCCAGGATACGGTTGGCTTTCTGGGCTGCAAGCGCAAACTGAAGCCGGCTCAGGTTCATTTTCTCATTGACCAGTTGCCCAGGGATCACAGACTCAACATCACTGCATTGCTGTCCATAGAAAACATCTTTAACTGCTTGAATTGGCAGGCATAGGAGATTGGATGAATATGCAACATTTCTTGAATGATCCCTC